TTAACAATGTGTCTTAGATCCATCAGAGAAATGAGGTCACAGGGCAAACTGCAGTCCCCAAAACAGGAGAAACAGGAGAATACATAGAATGAGAGCCAATGAGAGTGAAAGCCAGTGGAGCCAGTAACCGGTAGGAACTGATGAAATGCTGGAGGCTCAGTGTGGCTTAGTTTAAGAGTTAAAAACTCCTGAGGGCCCAGTCAGAGAAAAACCCCAGGCTTTTGTGAGTTTTATTTCCAAGAGTCTCACCAGGTTATCATGTTGAAGAACAAATGGAGAAAAATTCCCTGAGTTCAGACAGTGAGAGGGGAAGAATAACAATCTAAAAAAAAAAAACCTAAAGGGAAAAAATCAGAATGCAAATTTCAAAAGTACCTGAAATTAAAAGGTTTTGAAAAGTGTCTATAGTCATTAGTATCTTAATAAAAACAGATGAAAGTAAAAATTCTAGTCATAGAGATACAGATGATAAATTGAACTTTGGATCATTTATTTAGATGTTTGATATTGGGTATATCCAGCCACATATTAAAGGAGCTCTTATCCTTCGTCCTGCCTTCTTAATTACAGTTACACAGATTTTCCAAGAGGAACATTATTTCATCAATATTAGGCTTACTTTCTATGCAAAGCTCATAATGTCTTCATGATTAATATGTACAGAGACAATGTCAACGTATTTGATTTGAGTCTGTGTTTATTTTTGAAATACATTTAGGCCTAATTCAAATATGAGAAATTTCTTCAAACTTGAGGGTCACGGGAAAAAAAGCATAGATTCATCTACTTAATAAAGTCTTCCTGAATGTTAGAGGATATTTTGAAACCTAAATCTGCTTATAAATAAAAGTTCCACCTATGAGAAAGAATTGGAGATAAACAAAAAGAAAAATGTAGCTAAATATTCTGTCTAGTATTTGTTCTATTGAAAGGTAATTGTCTCATTTTCTTCACCCTTCAAAATTCATCGAAAAATTTAAATATTTAAGGAAGTGTTTCCTAGAGTTCTTCTTTTCAGAATTTCAATGGCTATTTTGGCTCTGTGTCTTTCTAATAAACTTTACAACCAACATGTTTTGCCGAAGGAAAACATAAAAAAAAAAAAAAACCTAGAGTGTCCTCCACAATAAGGGCCTACTCATTAAAGAAAAATATCTTACCATAATCTTATCTCACGCGGCAGAAGGGAAATACTCAACTACAGCCCCCTCTGGGCTTCCTGTCTCATAAAGGGGAGGAAAAATATAACAGAGGAGACCAAAGCAAGGACACTAGAGGAAATTCAAGTATGTGACACTATAGCAAACATTAAATACAGCCTAACTCTTAGTCAGATAATATCCAAAATTCTTACGATACCAAATGCTGGTGAGGCTTTAGAGCAGTAGGAACTCTGATTCACTACTGATGGGAGTGCAAAATGGTACAGCAACAGTGACAGTTTCTTACAAAGTTAAACATAGTCTTAATCATTCAATCTCACAATAATACTTCTACATATTTACTCACATGAGGAGCAAACTTATTTCCACACAAAAACCTGCACATGAATCTTAATAGCAGCTTTATAGATACTCGTGAAAATTGGAAGCAGCCAAGAAGTCCCTCGAGAGGTGAATGGTTAAACAAATTTTGGTACCTTCAGACAATAGGATATCATTCAGCAATTAAAATAAGTCAGCTATCAAGGCACGAAAAGACGTGGAGGAACTTTGAATGTACATTGTTAAGTCAAAGAAGCTGATCTAAAAAGGCTACACATGCTGTTTGACTTCAACTATACGGCATTCTGGAAAAGACAAAACTACAGATACAGTAAAAGAATCACTGATTGTCAGTTCACAGGAGGGGAATCAGGATGAATAGATATTCTTTTGTGTCGGGGGTGGGGGGTGGCGTTGAAACTATTCTGTATGACACCATAATGGTGGATGCTTGACATTAAGCATTTGTCAACACCCACAGAAATGTACAATTCAAAAAATTGAAACTTAATGTAAACTATGGACTTCATTTAATACTAATGTTTCAACAACGGTTCTTCAATTATAACGGATATACCACATTGATGTAAGATGTTAATAAATAGGAGAAAGCAAACAGGGGATAAGAGATATATCAGACCTCTCTATACTATCTGCTCTTTTTTTTTTTTTTTTCGGTACGCGGGCCTCTCACTGTTGTGACCTCTCCCGTTGTGGATCACAGGCTCCGGACGCGCAGGCTCAGTGGCCATGGCTCACGGGCCCAGCCGCGGAGCGGCATGTGGGATCTTCCCGGACCGGGGCACGAACCCGTGTCTCTTGCATCGGCAGGAGGACTCTCAACCACTGCGCCACCAGGGAAGCCCCTACCTGCTCATTTTTGTAAACCTAAAACGGTCCTGAAAAATAAAGTCTACTACTAATAATAACAATAAAAACCACTCCGTCACACTGCCACAGTTTTTCACTATAAATATCGAAATCTTGTCATTTATAAAACAAATGTTAGGACCCTCAAATTAGATCTAAAAGAAGTAAGTGTGTCATACAGAAAGAAAAGACAAGAGAGTAAAAGGCAAGAGAGATGGCTTGAAAGACAAGAGAGAAGGTTAAATTTGGTCATATTAGCCTTTGCTCATACCCTGACTTTTTAGATCAAAGAATATCTTGGTAAACAATGAAGGAAACATCACAGATCCTTATCATTAAATAATGATAATTTAAAAATTAAGTTAAGCTACACAATAGTGTTAAATAATACAGGCCATATGAAATTTGTATATTTAACAATTAAATGTTTTAACACATTTTATTCAACTCAAATAAATATAAAAAATAAAATGACCAACTACATAAGACCAAATAATATACAATCTAAAAATAAGCCTCTGGTTAAGCCTGCTCTACTTTGATTTTCTATCATGAAAAATTATCATTTTTCAAAAACCACCTAACTGTTCATTTTATTTTATTTTTTTGTTTGATTGGGTTTTTTTGGTTTTATTTTTTGTTTGTTTTTGTTTTTTGCGTTTTTTTATTGGAGTAAAATTGCTTTACAATGTTGTGTTACTTTCTGCTGTACAATGAAGTGAATCAGCTATATGTATACCTATATCCCCTCCCTCTTGGACCTCCCTCCCACCTCCACTCCCCCATCCCACCCATCTAGGTGGTCACAGAGCACCGAGCTGAGCTACCTGTGCTATACAGCAGGTTCCCACTAGCTATCTATTTTACACATGGTAGTGTATTTATGTCGTAGGGCTGGATATTAATGTCTTTTACAATTAACAACCACAGTTCTCTTAACTCCTTTTTTTTCTTGAACACATGAGCCACTTTCATTCAGTTAATATGCATTCAATGCCCAGCCTGCTAAATGCCATGCAGTGAGCTAATTACAGAATAGCACTCTGTTTTAAATGTATACAGACTAATAAGGGAGTTGGACAAGTAAATTTTAATTATGGCACAATGAGGTAAATGCTAAATAGGATGCGGTGCAAGGTTTCAAATGTCACTTGGAGGGATATTCAGACTTGCAAGAGTCAGGAAAAGCCTCTCAAAGAAAGTGCAATCAAATTAGAGTCAAGAGACAAAGGAGAACTAATCAGGCTTTGAACTAACTGGGTTGGAGGTATTGATGGGGGTATAAGGTGGGAGCAAAGGACAATATCCTCAGTGGAAGACAGAGTAGGTGCAGAGACACGAAAAGAAAAAAATGTGAAGGATTCATGCGTTCCAAAACCCTTGGACTTTTTTTGAATTGAAGTATAGTTGAGGTAAATATTATATAAGTACAGGTGTACAATATAGTGAGTCACAATTTTAAGGGTTATACTCCATTTATAGTTATCATAAAATATTGGCAATATTCCTGGTGTTGTACAATATATCCTTGTAGCTTATTTTATACCTAACAATTTGTAACTCTTAAGCTTCTATGCCTATCTTTCCCCTCCCTCCTTCCCTCTCCCCACTGGTAACAGCTAGTTTGTTCTCTATATCTGTGAGTCTGCTTTTTTTTTGTTATATTCACTAGTTTGTTGTCTTTCTTTAGATTCCACATATAAGTGATGTCATACAGGATTTGTCTTTCTGTCTGACTTACTTTACTTAGCATAATGCACTCCAAGTCCATTTTTCTCATTCTCTTATCTAAATTCCGACGGTGCCAATGGTGCCAATGGCTAACTTTACCTGGAAATTTCACACTACATCATTGAACATGTGATTGGGAGCAGAGAGAAGTGAGATTTTAAAAATAATAATCCAGGGGCTTCCCTGGTGGCGCAGTGGTTAAGAGTCCGCCTGCCGATGCAAGAGACACGAGTTCGTGCCCTGGTCCGGGAAGATCCCACATGCTGCGGAGCGGCTGGGCCCGTGAGTCATGGCCGCTGAGCCTGTGCGTCCAGAGCCTGTGCTCCGCAACGCAGGAGGCCACAACAGTGAGAGACCGGCGTACCGCAAAAAAATAATAATAATAATAAATAAATAAAAATAAAATAATAATAATCCAAAGGTGAGTGCCGTTTACATTCTTTCCTTAGCTGTCACCTGTTTTTGATTTTCAGGGATGCTTAAGAGTTAAAGGCAAAGATTTTTAAATAGAAGGTGTTTTCCAAGTGATTTAGGACACAAGCAAGTACTACAATGCCTTTTTTGACAGGTCTCCCTAAACTAATCTAGATCTCCTGATCCAGGGTCCTCGATGCCCTCCTGTTTCTTCTCTGTTTCTTACTCCCCTAGTAAGTTTATTGTCTCAAAGATCAAGCCCGCCTATTTGATTATTCATCAGTGAATGAGTAAGGGACGCTGTCTTCCAAGCTCTCTTATAATCTATTGCATCATGTTTACATTTTTCTCCCTCTTCTTTGCCTTCACTTCCTCTCCCTCCTTCTCCTCAACCCACAGATGGCTACTGGCAGATTTAGAAATTTGATAATGAACCAAGAATGAAAAATAACAGGAGAATTTCTACATCTCTGTATGAATAAACATGACTCTGTGTGGCTCACTGCATCTGCAGGTATGATTCCATATTTGTATTACTCCGTTGCAACACAAACTCCAGAAAGCCTAGCCCTGCAGATTAATCTCCGCCTCCTTCTCTGGCATTCAGAATAAAAGCTCACCAGAAACATTCCAAATGCACAGTAGTTCTCATCTTTTTTTGCAGCTTGAAACCTGAGTGGAGATTTGAAGAAAACTGGATTGGATCACCAAGTTTCTTTCACAGGACCGTCTGGACAGGTTTTATCTCATTATTGCTGACATTAGTATTTAGATTTTAGATATAGCAAATACAGAATGCAAATTATTTATTACAAAACTGTTTTAAGAAGGAAATATAGAGATAATGAAGTTTTTATCAATACTTTAGTCACTTAATAATGTACAACAGGTAAAGCTTTATTAAATCATTTATCGTTAAAAATAATACCTTGTATTTATATAATGCTTTGCTGTTTAAAGAGTTTTAACATAAAGCTACAGTATACTAATTGCCTTGTAAGTCCTGCATGTTGGACATGTTCTCTATTTTACTGATAAGAAAACAAAGCAACAGAGTAGAAAATTTAGAGGGGAGACTGAATTCTAGTCAGGTGTTTACTTCTGTGAAATATATCAGAAGAAGTCTATTACCACCAGAGGCCTTGAAAATATTACTATCACTTTTAAGTGAGAGATATCAGATACACAAGAGCAGAAATCCAAGTCCTTGGTAAGTTGTTGACAGGTAGACCATTGTCAGGATAGTACTTATTTTATCTAGGAGACTTTAGTGGAACTTAGAGAGCCCGAAGAGATTTGATCTAACAATTAAATAATTGAATTTAATGAGGATTTTATAGCATCTATTTTGTGACAGTGCTGAGGTTCTGGATAGAATGATGTACAAGAGGATATTCTCCAGTTTCAGCCACTTTGCTCAAATCCAAGTAAGTCGAAGAAAGTGAGGCTGAAGTGAGCTCTTTACATCTACACTCACCCTGGTATTCAGCACTTATCACTGGGTTTGGTAACAACAGAGGAACTCAGACAGAGAGTACTTGCTGAATTAAAGGCAGATTGAGAGTGGAGGAGGGGAGGGTGGAGAAACACAGAAAGAAAAAGAGGAAGGAAAGAAGAAATAAAAGAGAAAGAAGAAATATTTCTTCCTTCAACTGAATTTATGAATCACAGTTTTAATAATTTTTGTTCATGTTTCTAGAAAACAGTAACCTACATACTCAGTTATGAAATGAACTTGACAATTTCTAACTGAAATAGGTCTTTTGAGAAAGAAAAAAGCAGCTAGAGGTGAATCTATACATTGTGATGTGAGATAATTTACTAAAAGAAGTTAGGTAAACAAAGCAAGAGATTTTATTATATGCCACCTAGTTTAACTCAGATTCAAATTGACCATGAAGGGTCAGCCAGAAGTCAGTCAACTGTTTGATAATAAATCAGCTACTCCCGATTGACTATAAGCCAATTCTTACAAACCTGGCAGAACATCAAGAAAGTTGTTCACATGAATAAACAAATCAACAGACAGGGCAAGGGATGCCTTCCTCACACAGTTTTTTCTAGTGATTTTATGAACAATAGACTTCTATGCAAACCAGTAAGAAAGTTAAAGACAACTGGAAATACATGATGGGAAAACTGCAGATATATTCAATCTATAAATAAATAATAAATTACTAGCTATACATCAGTTAGGACAAAACAACACTCCTGATGGGCAAAATTGATCAAAATGATTAAAAGAACCAGTAAACTTAAGAAATATGAAAAATTATAAAATATCTATGAAATACAGATTTTAAATAATATATATTCAATTACGAAAGATTGCAACAATTAAATTTCCAATACTGATGATGCAGTGAGAAAATAGGCAATTTCATATACCACGCAAATGTGCGCACTCTTTTAGTGATTTGTTAAAGACAATTGCCAATTTCTTAAGTGTGTATACCTTTTACTTTGGCAATTCCATCATCACTGCAAAGATAAGTGTGAAAAGACATATGCTCGAAGAAATTTGTTGCAGTTCTATTTATATTGGAAAAAAGGAACAACAGGGATTCCCAACAATAAAGAGTGGTATCATCTATGTTACATCCATACTATGGATTGCTATGTGTTATTTATAAGAATAAAAACAGAATTTATGTACCAGCAGCAAAATATGTTCACATCATACAGTTCAGTATAAAAACAGATTACAAATGAATGTAAAATAGAACACAAATTAAACTACATTCATAAGTGTATAGATTTTATATATACTTAAATATTTAGAAACATAAAAACAGCATTATTAGGAATGATCATGTCTTATGTGTAGAATAAAGAGAGCACTTTTATTTTCTCTATATCACTTAATGTTTTCAACGTGTCAAAAATAAGGATATTTATATGTGCATGTTTACATGAATGCATGAATGTGTGCGAATTTATCCTTCCTTGTGTAAAATGGGTATGGTTCAATCCTCAAAGAGTCTCCTGCAGGACAAACGTAACCTGATCTATAATGATGTCTGCTTTTTCATAGACCCTTATGACATATGTATAAGGTTTTAAAATAAAACTTTTCATGTCTGGCAAAAAGTGTCTAATAAATAACATGCATTTTCTTTCCTAGGGTGGTTGTAGAAAAAAAATAGGCACTTCTTACAGTGAGGTCAGCTGGAAGGCTATTTTCATATTCAGTCAGTAGTTGTTGAGCTTCCTAAGTAGGGCAGTGACCATGAAGATAGAAAAAAGAAGAAAATAATGGAGATGGAATCAATGGGTTTGAGTGCCTGGTGCTAGTGGGGGAGAGATAGGAGGTAACATCTGAAAGTTTTCATCTCCACTGTTTAGCCTGAAATGTAGTAGGGGAAACACTACCAGAAGGAGCTTTCAGTGTAAGTCAGTGGTCTAAATACTTGGTTTGATTTGTAGGTCACATCTTTCTAAAATTTTACCATCAGTTATTTCTTCCTTTGGGTTAATGCATTTGTTACAATATCTGCTAATTTCGCTTCCTCTTTAGAGTATACTTCTCATAGTTTGGGATGTTCTGTATTAAAGGAAACACATTAGGTGACTAAAAGAACTACTGCCTCCAAGAGGCTCCTGTTATGGTATGAACTTTCTGAAAAAGACACTAAAAGCCACAGCAGTCACAAATGTATAGGGGTATAACAACTTATCTGGCAGTTTTTGGGGCAAGGGTGGATATTAGCTGTAATGCTAATATCAAAGAAGGACAACATTTGTTGAGATACTATATCACAAACTCAGAACGGGGTAAGTTTGGGGAGTAAAAATGTAGTGAAAGAAGTTGCAAGCCAATAAAGGAAAGTGTGCTTAATTAAAAATTTTAAGACTAACTCTGAACATGAAATGATTTAACATGGGATCAGGAGAGGAACTGTCAATGATAACCAGGTTGTTTAACCTTATAATTGTCACACAAATCACTCAATGGGAGTGTCGACTTCTTTACTGATCAAGTGAGAGAGAAAAGTATAAGTAATGCTAGGGGTCACACAGGAATCTTCTCTACCCTCAAGAATCTGTCTTAGACATATCCATTACAGTGTCATTAATTTCATCTTCTTTTTAATACACTCAACAAGCATTTGATTTTTTTTTCATTAAATGAAACATATTCAGGAACTAAGGAAGCTCTGACTTTGATATTTGGCAATAGCTATCAAATGTGACCATCAATCTTTATTGTTATTTAATGTATACAGAATTAATCAAAGTGATTATTTGCCAAAGCATTGTTGTATTTTCTCAATCTCTTAGCTTTTTTATATGCCCCATCAATTTTGACAGAGAAATCGAAGGCTCTGTTGAATGTATCACGCATTTTGTACATAGTTTTGAAACATCTTACTTTATTGTGCTTTGTACTTATTCTTTCATATGTTAGACTTATTAATAGGATTAGAAACTCTTAAAACACCAAGGCCATGTTATATCCTTCTTTAATATGCCTTTACCCCATATGCTCAACAGCTAAGAAATGCTAGACACCCAAGAGAAACTCAATGTACAGGGCTAGTATTAATGTTAAAACATTTTAAAGTACATACAAAGTGGAAAGCATACCTTTTTTTCTTTCAGTGTACCACTCTATGATGAATTCTTCCAAACCTGCCTATTTAGATTACTTTGGCAGAATCCATGGAATTCTACTGTATAAAGAATTTATCCAATATTGGCATGACGTGGAGGCATTTGAGGCAAGACCAGATGACCTTGTCATTGTCACCTATCCCAAATCTGGTAAGTCTCTTTGTTAGGTCAAAGTTTTTCCCTTTTCACCTAGAAATGACAAACCCACCTTGACTGGTAAATATTGAGCCATTCACCCCTCCCACACTCATTCTCTATATTAAATAAGGACAGATATAGCAGTTTTGGTATAGACATAGAAAAAGTGGCATACGATAGCTCTATTCTAAGACCACAGTCTGTACCTATAATTTGAGAAGCACATTGACAAATGGGTATTGTTGGCCACTTTAGAAAATCACATAATATAGATGGATGAATATGGAACCATAACTAAAATTTAAAACTACCCACTGTGTTTACCTTATTTCATTATTGTCATTGTTGTATAGACAAAGTATAAGCAATTTTCACAGATTTTTTAAAACTTAACACTTTTTCAGCTAACCAGCTCCTCTTTATAAAGTCCATCTCTGAAACTCTATTTACAAGCAACGTCTTTCTTCCTGAAATTAGCTTGTTAGTCATAACTCTGGAGTCTTACAATCCTAGATCTTTAGAAATTAGAAAGGTCCAGTACAGACTTCTTCTCTATCTTCTCTATCTCTATCTTCTCTAACTGTTCCAATTAACACAAGTATGTCAAACACTAAATATGTGTTTGACTACTCTGACTGTAAAGAGCTCCTGCATTTCTCTTTCTTGTCTAGATCTATGTCAGCACAAAACCAGTCACATGAAGAGGACACCTGAGAGCTACTCCAGAGTCAATTTCTCTTACTTCTGCATCTCCCATATTCAGTCAACCAATGTGTTTTGCCCATTTAGTCTCTTAGATATGCCTCACAGTCAGTCTCTTACAGGTCTCTTGTCACCTTTTTTATTGACCCCTCACTCCATTGTTTTATTTACTTTGGCTCTAGAGGAATTCTTCCAAAATATAACCATGATAATCTTGCTTTCTTGCTTAATGTATGCTAATGCCTTTGAAAAACTTTTAGAAAACAACTTGAACTCTAGTATGAACTACAAGGCTTTTTAGGCTCAGTGTCTGGTTGCTGCTGTAAGCTCATCTCCACACATCCCTTCAGGTAGCCTCTGATTTAGTCTTTATAATCTACATCCAATTTGTTTCCTTGCCTCTTTACTATTTGTAAGTATCTGGCCTTTGATTAAGAAAAACAAACAAACAGATCTTCTGTCTGGTAGACCACTTTCCTACCTTACAAAACTTGTGAATTTATGCCAATAGTTTGTTAAAGCTAAGCTCAATTATCATGGTATCTTGAAGGCATTTCTCGTGGAAACATCACGGCAGCAGCAGAAGCACACAAAGTTCCTCCTTTACAGTCCTTTGAATCCTGTGACCATCTGTATTACAACATCTTAAGGAAAAAGAAGTGCTGTAATTATTGAGCATTCTGACTTTTCAGAGGGCCTTTGAACATCACAGGACAAGGACCAGATTTATTCTTTTCTATATACTCTGTAGTAGGACTCAACCTGAGGCATAGAAGCTATCTAGAAAATTTGTGGATGAAAGCATGGTTACTTTTTAGATGTAAAAATTTAGTTCCAAGACTGTTAGCTTGTACAATGTCACAATTCATCGACAAATTCAGATTTCTACCACAGGTGTATCTTATTACAATGTTCTTTATTTATTGATGCTATGTTAAGATCCTACAAGATTAAATTTTAGAGGAAATATTTCTTGAGTCCTGTGGTTATTCTGGCATCTTTCAAATACTATTGCATTGGTAACTTCCTACTTTATCCAACTATAAATCTATCACTCCCTGCATCATCAGCTATGCATCATCAGTGGGAGACTCAGATTTGTTTAATTTTTTCAGGCACAACATGGGTTAGTGAAATTGTATACATGATTTATACAGAGGGTGATGTGGAAAAGTGCAAAGAAGATGCCATTTTTAATCGAATTCCTTACCTGGAATGCAGAACCGAAAAGGTGATGAATGGTAATGCTTAAGTTAATTTTAAAAGATATATACACATATTTTAAGTGTGGATGTAAATGGTGCAAGGAAAGAGACTATAAGCAAAAGTGGCAATTAGTATTATGTCTTCTACATAAGAAAGAATGTAAATTTAATTTTAAATCTTGACAGAGTTTATGGTATAGCATATGCCTGGAATAGAGAGAATAAGGATAGCTCTGACATGCTTTCAGCAGAGCCTAGTAATATGTGAGCACTTATCTCTTTATGGGATGTATGCAACAGTATTTTAAATGCAGGAAAATATCCATAAAATTTTCAAGGATATATGCAAAAATATTTTTATCACAGATTCTTTTAATATTATGAAAAATTAGAAACAATATATATGTTAATCAACAAAAGAAGAGTTAAAAGTGATATGAAATCATTAAACATGTTACGATGACATATGTTTCTTGACATTGAAGTGTTGCTATAATATATCGAGAAAAATGCAATTAGGGGACTTCGTTGTCTGTCCAGTGGTTAAGACTTCACCTTCCAATGCAGAGGGTGCGGGTTTGATCCCTGGTCAGGGAGCTAAGATCCCACATGCTTCACGGCCAAAAAACCAAAACGTAAAAGAGAAGCAATATTATAACAAATTAAATAAAGACTTACAAAAATGGTCCACATGAAAAAAATCTTAAAAGAAAAGAAAAATGCGATCAGAAGATATTAAATATTTCATCTGTGTGTGTGGTATTTGTATGGCTGTGAGTCTGGGCATATAGACATCTTTGTATGGAAGGATGCTTACCAAAACGTTAATAATGATTTTTTTCAAAGGTGAAATTTTATTTGATCTATTTTTTCTCTATAATTTTCTCTACATAAACTTCTGTCATAGTGAATATGTATTATTATTATGAAAACAATATAGAATATATAGTTACTTTTATCTTTTTAATCTATGAAAATCCATATAAATATTTATAATTTTTGAAGTTGTCTAACTTTTGTTTTTTTAAAAAATTAGGAGTAAAACAATTAAAACAGATGGCATCTCCTAGAATAGTGAAGTCTCATCTGCCACCTGAGCTTCTTCCAGCCTCATTTTGGGAAAAGAACTGTAAGGTAACCAGAGTCAAGTGTTCTTAGAACTTCACCGAACTCAAAGAATTTTACAATGATAAAGTTATATAACATCCTAACTGTGTCTTATACACACTTGTTTACTTATTCCTTCATTGAATCTATAGACATTTTTAAAATGTGGATCATAGTCAGTATAGTCAAAGAGTCTAGATTTCAGTTCTAACTCCAGAGGTAATTCTGAGAAAAACAGGTAAACTATCTAAGCTTCAGTTTCCTCATCTATAAAAGAGAGATAATAATTGCATTCCACATAGAGTTGTTATAAGGATTAACTAAAATAATTCTTGTAAATTGCTTAACATAGTACCTAGCATGTTATAAATAATATATGGTAGCTACTTTTGTATTTGCTGTTATTAGTAATTGCATTCAATATACTCTTTTTGAAAACTATTGTGCTTGGCATTGTGAGGCATGCAAATGAACTAGACAAGGACAACCCAGAAAAAAATAGCATAATAATTATTTACTGAGTGCCTATCCTGAGCCAGCAATATGACAATCAATAAGATGCATGCAATCCTTGTCTTCATGGGCACATGGTCCACAGGGGGAAAGTGATAAATAAAGAAACAATACATAAGGTACTATAAGTCAAGTAAGAGAAGAATTCTAGCCCAGACATTGAGGGAAGAGAAGTTATCCAGGAGCAAGTAACATCTCAGTTGATATATGAAGGATGTATAGGAATTAGACTATATAATCCCAGAGGCAACCCAAGGTGGGATGTGAAACCAGTTCAATTTAGCTGGAAAGCTGAGTGTCCATACTGGCTGGATGAGTGAAGGTAGATAAGCTGGGTTTGTTTATAACAGATATGGAAGCCAATTTAGAAAGTTTGGGTTCCACTTTGATGATAATGAGGAGTTACAGCCATATTAAGCTGCTGATTTATATGATCAATTTGGCTTTTTAGAAAGAATAATACATGGAATCCTAAAGTACAGGCAAAACATTGTCTTAAAACACTGAAGCCATTTCTCAAGACCTTAGTAGCTTTATTGGGACACACTATGACCCATACTAAACATATAAGATATTAAAGTACTATACGTAGTCATTATTGACAAAAAGAGGATCTATCTGAGTCATGAAACATTTCCATTTTGTACACTGACGTAACAGGGCATATATGACATTTTCTGGAGATCCATGGTGCAAAATTTTGAAGATTCCAATGGTTTTTGTTTGTTTGTTTGTTTTTATCATAGGCAATCTTAGAAAGATCACATACATGCTGCTGAAATCATTCCATACATAAGAGCTCTCTCTTTAATAAATATTCATATATCTTTTGGGAAACATGTCATTACTATTTTTTCAAGAGATTTGGCCAAGTTACTTTTTTTCTTTTGAGAATGGGATGAAGCCTTGATGTTACCCCCTTTATTTATTTATTTTTAAAAATTAAAAAAGTATATTTTTTATAAATTTATTTATTTATTTATTTTTGGCTGTGTTGGGTCTTCATTTCTGTGCGCAGGCTTTCTCTAGTTGCAGCGAGCAGGGACTACTTTTCATTGACGTGCACAGGCTTCTCATTGCAGTGGCTTCTCTTGTTGCAGAGCATGGGCTCTAGGCTCGCAGGCTTCAGTAGTTGTGGTATGCAGGCTCAGTAGCTATGGCACATGGGCTTAGTTGTTCCATGGCATGTGGGATCTTCCCAGACGAGGGCTTCAGCTCATGTCCCCTGCATTGGCAGGTGGATTCTTAACCACCGTGCCACCAGAGAATTCCCCCCCTTTACTTTTAAATGAAAATACATACTGTACCTTTATAATAGCCTCAGTCTTCACAAAACTGCTGATCATCTCAGAGATCATCAAAGACTAGGAGACAACTGGATGGATTCACATCCTGAGTACTTCCAGGGTGATTCACTGGTAGACAAGAAGAGAAGTGGATTGAGACTGTTAGTAAAAGTGTGTTTGGAGTGTTGGACTAGAAACTTTAAGTGATAAAAAAGAAGAAAGTAAAAAAAAAAAAGGGAACAGGCTAATAGATAAAAGAAACAATTGAGGTCAATAAACTTGAGAACTTGGAGTTGTTGCAGAAGAGGTATACTCCTGATAAGAAAGAAAGAATAAAGAAACAGGACTGTCTTGGAAGAAAACATGGTGCTCAAGGACAAGCCTTCAGAAACTTTAGGGTACTGACAAGTTTCAAGATTTGGCTAAAAATATTGTTAGTTGAAGTAAAATAGAGGTAATGATCAATGACCACATGAACCTAGAGAATCAGATGGTTCATGAATATAGACACTAAAATTATACAGTGTGGTGAAAAGTTTTGGTATGGAGAGTAACACTATAAGGCAGGTGTTCAAATCTTCAGTTAAAGCAAGGGAATGACCACAAGCTTAAAAATGTCACAGCTGGTTGAAGTATGAATTATTATAGGATCAGGGGTTTTTCAAGTGTAGGAATTTTAAGATAGATTATGATCCCAAGTGAATTGTGGGCAAACTAGAAACTTTGACTTGAGAGAAGTGAGTGGAAAGACCTAGATTTACCTCGAAGGCAGGAAGACCATGTGCAGTGAAAAGTTAGGGAAGAAAATAGGATCTTCCAAAACAGAGATAAGACAAACTGATGGAAGTTTAAGGAAAGAGGAATTGCTTTAACTTCCCACCTTCCCCTGCCCCACATCCTGGAGAATAAAAACTTTTATGGAGGACTTGGAGCAAAGGTTTAAATATGGATAGTATTTTTTATTTAATTTAATTAATTAATTAATTTATACAGCAGGTTCTTATTAGTTGTCTATTTTATACATATTAGTGTATATAAATCAATCTCAATCTCCCAATTCATCCCACCACCACCCACACCCCGCTTACCCCTCTTGGTGTCCATATGTTTATTCTCTACATCTGTGTCTCTATTTCTGCCTTGCAAACTGGTTCATCTGTACCATTTTTCAAGATTCCACATATATGCGTTAATATAGGATATTTGTTTTTCTCTTTCTGACATACTTCACTCTGTATGACAGTCTATAGGTCCATCCATGTCTCTACAAATGACCCAATTTCGTTCCTTTTTGTGGCTGAGTAATATTCCATTGTACCACATCTTTTTCCATTCGTCTGTTGATGGGCATTTAGGTTGCTTCCATGACCTGTCTAATGCAAATAGTGCTGCAATGAACATTGGGGTGCATGTGTCTCTTTGAATTATGGTTTTCTCTGGGTTAACGCCCAGTAGTGGGATTGCTGGGTCATATGGTAATTCTATTTTTAGTATTTTAAGGAACATCCATGCTGCTCTCCATAGTGGCTGTATCAATTTATATTCCCACCAACAGTGCAAGAGGGTTCCCTTTTCTCCACACCCTCTCCAGCAATTATTGCTTGTAGATTTTATGATGATGCCATTCTAACCAGTGTGAGGTAATACCTCACTGTAGTTTTGATTTACATTTATCTAATAATTAGTGATGTTGAGCAGCTTTTCATGTGCCTTTTGGCCATCTGTATGTCTTCTTTGGAGAAATGTCTATTTAGGCCTTCTGCCCATTTTTTGATTGGGTTTTTGTTTTTTTTAATATTGAGCTGAATGAGCTGTTTATACATATTGGAGATTAATCCTTTGTCCATTGATTCATTTGCAAATACTTTCTTCCATTCAGAGGATTGTCTTTTTGTCCTGTTTATAGTTTCCTTTGCTGCACAAAAGCTTTTAAGTTTCATTAGGTCCCATTTGTTTATTTTTGTTTTTATTTCCATTACTCTAGGAGATGGGTCAAAAAAGATCTTGCTGTGATTTATGTCAAAGAGTGTTCTTCCTATGTTTTCCTCTAAGAGTTTTATACTGTCCAGGCTTACATTTAGGTCTTTAATCCATTTTGTTTAATTTATTTAGTTTATTTGTGTATGGTGTTAGGGAGTGCTCTAATTTCATTCTTTTACATGTAGCTGTCCAGTTTTCCCAGCACCACTTATTGAAGAGACTGTCTTTTCTCCATTGTATATCCTTGTCTCCTTTGTCATAGATTAGTTGACCATAGGTGCATGGGTTTATCTCTATGCTTTCTATCCTGTTCCACTGATCTATATTTCTGTTTTTGTGCCAGTACCATATTGTCTTGATTAGTGTAGCTTTGTAGTATAGTCTGAACTCAGGGATCTGCTTCCTCTGGCTCTGTTTTTTTTCCCTCAAGACTGCTTTGGCTATATGGGGTCCTTTGTGTCTCCATACAAATTTTAAGATTTTTTGTTCTAGTTCTGTAAAAAATGCCATTGGTAATTTGATAGGAATTGCATTGAATCTGTAGATTGCTTTGGGTAGTATAGCTATTTTCACAATATTGATCTTCCAATCCAAGAACATAGTATATCTCTCCATCTGTTTGTGTCATCTTTGATTTCTTTCATCAGTTTCTTATAGTTTTCTGAGCACAGATCTTTTGCCTCCTTAGGTAGGTCTATTCCTAGGTATTTTATTCTTTTTGTTGCAATGGTGAATGATATTATTTTCTTGATTTCTCTTTCTGATCTTTCATTGTTAGTGTGTAGGAATGCAAGAGATTTCTGTGCATTAATTTTTTTTTTTTGTTATGCGGGCCTCTCACTGCTGTGGCCTCTCCCATTGCAGAGCACAGGCTCCAGATGCGCAGGCTCAGCTTCCATGGCTCACGGGCCTAACCGCTCCATGGCATGTGGGATCTTCCCAGACCGGGGCACGAACCCATGTCCCCTGCATCGGCAGGCAGACTCTCAACCACTGCACCACCAGTGAAGCCCTGTGCATTAATTTTGTATCCTGCTACTTTACCAAATTAATTGATTAGCTTTAGTAGTTTTCTGGCGGCATCTTTAGGATTCTAAATGTATAATATCATGTCATCTGCAAACAGTGACAGTTTTACTTTTTCTATTCCAATTTGTATTCCTTTTATTTATTTTCCTTCTCTGATTGTTATGGCTAGGACTTCCAAAACTATGTTGAATAATGGTGGCAAGAGTGGATATCCTTGTC